TATATATAGGGCCCCCATATACAGTATTGACTCCAGCCCAGGGGCCCCCATCCTGACTCCAGCCCAGGGGCCCCCATCCACCTAAATCCGGCCCTGGTCCTCTGCATCACATCTTCATCTTTAAAGATCAGGGTTAAAGACCAAGAGATTAAACAAGGAATGCTGAGTCTGATTTTGTAATAACCTACAGTAATAAACCTTACTGACATGGCCTGATGTTGCAGCTGCCGATGGTTCTGATCCGATCAGCTGAAGTCATCTGACACTGGAGAAAGCGACAGGAGGTTCTGATGGCCGTCGGTGCTGACACTTGTTTCTTCGTCCTGCAGGGCAGCATCTGTGGCTTCACCATCGTCACTGGTGGCGCCGCTCGCCTCGTTTTCGGATACGACAGCTACGGCAACACCTGCGGGCAACGTAACGAGCACATCGAAGGCGTGCGGCTGAGCGGCCTCGACCACACCGACAGGAAGTGAGTCAAGCGCTTTTGCTGCGTAACTCTGAGGCATAAAAATGTACGTCGACTTTATAGTTCTCAAACTTAATTTTCACGTCTTTTAAAAAATGACTTACAGCGTGACTATGTTGTATTTAATTTTATTGTAAAACTAGTTTTACTGAAATTTAGATGTGAAATATTTTAATTTTACCGGTATGTTTACTGCAGTTTTACAGATGCTGCAAATTTACAGAATATTTACAATAACTATTGTAAATTTATTGAATTTTACTAGATTTACAGAAAAAAATGCAGTAATTTTACTCTAAATTGACTATATGTTTTCTCTAGTTTTACCATATATTTACTGCGGCTTTACAGATGCTGCAAATTTACAGAATATTTACAATAACTATTGTAAATTTATTGAATTTTACTATATTTGCAGAAAAAAATGCAGTAATTTTACTGTAAATTGACTATGTTTGCTGAAGTTTTCAATTACTTTAAATGTAAATTTTCTCTAGTTTTGCTGAAAATTTACAGTAAATGTTCTAAGATTTTACACTAAATTTACTCTAACTTAACTCAAATTTTATAATGTGTTTACTGTATTTTTAAAGTAGTTTTGCCAAAAATTTAAATAAGCACTTTGGTAACAACTGCTGTTTTAAATGTGCTTTATAAATAAATTGGACTTGACTTGGTTTGACTAAATTTGATGCAGTTTAAATATATTTTTACTGAAGTTCATTTGTAAATTTCTATAGTTTTACTAAATATTTACAGTATATTTATTGTAGTTTTACTGTAAATTTAATGAAGCTTTGCAAAAAAAAAAATCTTACAATAAATTACAAAAATTTACTGTAAATTTGTTGTTGTGGTACTATCAATGTACAGTAGTTTTATTGAATTTATAGACAAGTAACTGTACTTAGGGAACATTCATAATATTACTGAACTTTTATTGTAAATTTTCTGTACAGTAGTCCCTCACTACTTCACGGTTTGACTTTTGCGGACTCGCTGTTGCGTATTTTTTTCAACTATTGTCAACTTTAATATTACTCATGGGATTGGGATGGTACGGGATAAAAAGTTAACAAAAAATACTTTGGACAGGTGCCGCCATTTAGGTTTTTTTTCCAATAAACCAACACTGTAACACCAGTCAAAATAACTACACTACCCAGAAGCCAACAGTGCTTCCGGCTGCTGCATTCTGCCGAAATGGAGAGAAAGTTTTGCAAAGCAAAGTCAGAAGCAACGATTTATCTGTTAAACTCACAGAACTGGTAGGAAAGTTACAAATAATCCTGAAGCTAAATTATCCATGTGCACATCAACCTGGATGGGGCGGTGGACTTCGTCGCTGTAGGGTAGGTCTGCAGAACCGGAATCGAACGGCTGGTCTGTAGAGCTAGTGAGTAAAATTTTGCAGTACTGTACAGTACATATACGTATGTTGTTAAAATTACATAGGTTTAAGAGTTTTAAATCATTGAAAGAGTGTGGGAAGGGTTTATAAAGCCTTAAAATATATAAAAATACTAAAATAAATATAGCGTTCCTACTTTGCGGTTTTTCACCTATCGCGGTGGAACCTAACCCTTGCGATAATCGAGGGACTACTGTAGTTATTCAGAGTATTTTTTTAATTTTACTATAAATCTATAGCAAAAATACTGTAAAGTTACTCTAGTTCTTGTGGTAATTTACAATAGTTTAATCAAGTTTTACCTCGCTTGCTGCAGTTTTAAAGTCGTTTCACTGTAATTGTAGTTTCATCGTAGTTATAGATGTTAAGTTACTGTAGTTTAACTGGATTTAACGTTGCGTTACGGTTCATTCTTGTGTTTCTTGTGTTTGAACACACTGAGTCTGAGGTCCTGTAGGAGAACACATTGTGCTGACAGATGGTGAGATGTGACTCATCAGCAGATTTGCTCACACACACAGATCCTATTTTTACCTGCAGCCCCACCTGCAGGAGGCAGCCGATGGAGCGTGAAGACGAGCGCTCAGACCTACTTTTCCTCTCAGCAGAAACGTCAGACCTGAAAGTCTGCTGCTGCAGCTTTGAGATGTTCAGCTTAACGAATCTGTTCAAGAGAGTCAGCAGGAAAACACCCACAGAGGTGGACTGAGAAGGACCGGGGTGGTGGGTTGTGGTCTAAGAGGTCTTAAGTGGCCGGAGGACTGGCTTTTGAAGTAATTAGTGGTCTGAGAACTGAAATGGTTTAAGGGTGGTTTAAAAGGTCTGATGTGGTCTTAGTAGGTCTGAGGATGCCTGAAGTGGTGTAAGGTGGTTTAAGGTGGTCTGAGGCAGTCACAGTAGGGCCAAGGTGGTCTGAAGGTTCAAGTTTCTTTATTGTCATTCACATCACATGTGGTACATCAGGCGGAACAAAATTGTGTACCCAAGGTCCCAATTACACCCAAAAATAGTAAAAATATATAGTAGTCCCTCGCTACTTTGCAGTTCATTTATCACTGACTCGCCCTATCGCGGTTTTTCAAAATAAGATTGGACATGACGCACAGTTGGCTGATTGATGGATGAGCCACACGATCGGCATGGAAGTTTTATTTAAAATAAATGATTTAGCACCTGCTGCACATTTGTGCAGCTCACACTGCAGAATAAACTTCCTCCTGCAGCTGATCAGCTGTTCTCCGTGCAGAGCGGTGAAGTGGGCGTGGCCAAGAACGCTTGCAGGTGGCTGAGAGCAGTGGAGGCAGGGAGCTGAAATCATGACATTCTGTGATCTTTTAGAGCGTTTGGAGTTTAGAAACATTGTTTAGAATATTGCAAGAGTGTGGGAAGGGTTTAAAATGTCTTTA